GATTTTGTTATACATGTATAACCACAAATCTAAGTGACAAATTAATGGGTAGCCCAGTTTGTCATTTTGTAGGCCGTGTTTAATGCTCTTGTCATTGCTGATGGTATCACTATAGCCAGAAGTGACATAATTGTTCTAAACAGCTATTCTCCCTGGTATTTGAAGACTGAGATTGACTAAGGGTCACAGGAAATACAGTGGCACAGTGCCAAAGAACCAGGGGTTGGGCCAAACAGGCAGCAACTTCTCATCCCCAACAAGTTGAAGAGGTAGGATCTTGCACCAGACTGAAAATCCAAAGATCAGCTAAACTTGGAAGATACCTCAGAGAAGTAGTCATTTCCTAAGGGTTCTAAGTACTAGCAATAAAGCAACCCACCATAGGCAATTTACAAGCATCACCCCAGGAATTAAATTTTAAGACTGGCATATATATTTTGTTTTTTATATGTATTTGTATTAAGTAGAAATACCTTATATTTCTATTGACTAGCATCCTAGGAGAAATAAACATGGACTGTATTTTCACTAAAAGACTTGTTTGCAAATATTCATAGTAGTTTTATGCATATTAGCCAAAGACTAAAAACATCCCAAATGTTCATCTCCCAGTGGCCAGATATGTGACTTAGGACATAGTAACAGTAGATAAGCAATAAAAAGGAATAAGCGCCTACTAGATACACTGACCTGGCTGAATCTTCAAGACATTATGAATGAAAGAAATCAGATAAGAAGAGTACATGCTGTGTATTTATATTTATTTGAAATTATTTCACAGGCAAAACGAATGAGGAATGTAATAAGATCATTGCCTAAGGCCAGGGTGAGTTAACTGCACGACTCCCAAGGAGCCCCGGGAACTCTGAGTGGTAGATGTTCCGTGTTAGTTACACAAGTATGTGTACATCGTCAGTACCCATCACTTACAGGGGTGCATTTCATGCTTTGTAAATTATACCTTGGGTTAAAAAGATAAAGCAATATTTTGTGGTGAAAACAGATGATAAGAAAGGAATGAAACAACAATTTTTTGTTTGTTTGTTTTTCTCCGGTATCGGGAATCGAACTCATGACCTTGCACTTGCCAGGCAGGCGCTGTGCCACTGAGCTAAATCCCCAGTCCCGAAACAACAATTAATAATTGTTAGAGCATTTAGTATGTAGCACTGTTCTCAGCACTTCACATTTGTTTATTCATTGTATGCTAATATCTCTCTAAGGTATAAATACCATTATTCCCTTTGTTTTACAAATGAGGGATTTAAGGCACAAAGAGATTGGCCAAGATTACACAAGTAACAATTGGTAAAGCCAAGATTTGAGCCTCAGCAGTCTGGTTCTAGACTATTTTAAAATAAGTCTAGCATACAGTTTATTATAATAAATGTAAACAGATTAAGCTAGCATGCTGAAAGTCAAAGATTATCAAATGGGAAAATAAAATGTAGCTATATAATACTTGCAAGAAACTAGTACCATATTATTATCAGACAAAATAGAATTTCAAGATGGAAATATTAAAGGATTAGAAGACCCACTACATAATGTTTCAAAGAAACAGTTCACCATGAAGACGTAATTCTCATAAGCATGTGTCAAACACCAATGAAATTTTTTATGAATAAATATTTGACATGTCCACAACTGTGGTAGATTTTGATGTGTGTGTGTGTGTGTGTGTGTTGGGATTGAGCCTGGGCTTTTGCACTGAGCTATATCCCCAGCCCTTTTTTATTTTTTTATATTGAGAGAGGGTCTTACTAAGTCACTAAGTTGCCAAGATTGGGCTCAAACATCTGATCCTGTTGCCTCAGCTTCCAAGAGTACTGGAATTACAGACATGTAATTCCACACCTGGTTTGATATTTTCATTTTTAAAACTCCTGGATATGAACAGTACCAGGAAGTTTTTCTTTTTAAAAAAGAACACTTAAATACAAATGAAAATATCCTAAAGGAATAGAATTTGTAATGTCAGCTGTATTGATACAAATTTTCACATTAAAGGATTTCAAAAGGAGAGGGAAAAAATTCATGATTGTTTCAATGACGAAACTGTTGGTAAATGTCATAATTAACCAAAAGAAATAAAGCCTTTTAAGCAAACTTGGATTAAGAGGGATCTGGGATTTCTTTACCCTTCTAAAGAGAATATTTCAAAAAACCAGTGAGCAGTCATATTTAATGACAAAACTTTGGAAGCCTTCCCTTTAAAATTTAAAAAAACACAATGTGTGCTAGCCTTGGTCCTGTTAAACAGTGTACTAGAATCTGGGTGTGGTGGTGCACACCTGTAATCCCAGCACTTGGGAGGCTGAGGCAGGAGGGTCATTGTGAATTCTAGACCAGCCTGGGCGACAAAGTGAGCTCAAGGTCAGCCTGAACTGCATTGCAAGACTCTGTCTCAAAAAGACAAAGAAAAAAAAAATAAACAGTGTACTGGGGAATTTACGCACCCGAATAACAGATAAAAAAAAAAAAGTAGGCATTAAAAAGAGAGATAAAATTGCTCATGGAAGTACATCTTTTTGTTGTTTTACAGAAAATGTCTGTGGAAGAAATGCCTATGTTGCTCCAATGCTAGGGTTTAATGCAGATTTACATATAAAAAAGGTCAGACCTAACATTTGATGGTGTCTCACTTGCACTTAGCCTAGCTAACTAGTCATAGTAAACCAGTGTTCTGTGACACTGGGGGCACTTTCTTTTCATCTAGCAATTACGTTCCTAGACTGTACAGTTAAACTGATGAAATTAGCCACCACCAAGTAGCTTTATAGATTTTAATAGTTACCTGTGAGAGAAACATTTTACTCCCAACTCTATAAGTGCTGCTTTAGACAAAAATAAAGTGATGTAAAGTTGTATGAAACAGAAGACATGTTTTTGTGTAATAGATCCCTTAAACTTGTATTCTGATTTAGAGTTCCCTTAGTGTAAATTTAAATCTTACTTACATTTTAGATTCTATTCTAGGGCTTGTACTTCAAAGTGTGAAGAGCTCAGCCAAGATTAATCATAGCTCTAAACCCAAGGTAACATTGCAGACCCATGGTGTACTTTAATCTTAGTCATTATTTACTGGTAACCTGGACAGAGTGCATGGCATGTGCTCTTCTGTGTCACTCAACCCTCCCTTTCCTCTCCGCAATCCACAGTTACTTTTCACGTTTGTAGTTTATCTTTCCTCTTCTCCTAGGAAGCTAGGGTTTTTTGGTTTTTGGTTATTTTGTGAAATAAAAAATCATTGTGGAAAAGAAAACCACAGAGTCTAGGGATATCTCTGTTTAGGAACAAAAATTAACATTTGAGTTAAATTGTCTTTGCATTATTTTCACGTTGTTCATATACAGTATTTTAAATGTTTTGGGTTTGCTCATTAAGTCCTTCCCTGGTCAGCGTTGCTACTGTTAAATCTGTAGCGTTGTTTTACCCTGTCTATTCTAGGTCTGTTTTTCTTTCAGCTTTTTGATGGGACTTAGAGCAGTGATGGCAAACCTTTTAGAGCTTTCAGTGATACAAACAGCCCACGTTGGCACGCATGCTGTAGGTTCGCCACTACTGCTATAGAGGCTAGTACTTAAAAGAGAGACATTTCCTGGCCTGTGTTGCTGTATTATGTACTCCATGATTTCTGCCTTATTTCAGTTCCAGTGTGAGCTTGACAGGAGGAGACAGGTGGTCATTCTGCTGACCAGCAGCTGATTGGGGAGGGTGGAGGCTCATGATGGATGGATACGTCTGCTGACAAAAAAAGCAATTCCATGAATATGAGTGTGCAGAGTAAAATTGGGGTCAGCAGATGGTAGGTCTAAGCTGTATCTTATTTCTTCCTGAGCTATGAGATCGGCTGTAGCTGTCTTTTCACAGAAGCCAGCTGGGACTGCCATTAACTGCCAGCGTCCCCTGATTTTTGTAGAAGGCACTTGTTGCTTTCTTTAGAAAGTATTCAGCCTCTCACTTTTATAGATGGCGTTATGCTCATTTGGTGGCAAAACATGATACCGCCAAGCAGGCTGTAGGAGAACTGGCCTTACTGTGGAGAACGTTCCCATTAGGCCCATTCCCGCAATACAGTCGCTCTGAAATCTGGTTTTCTCTTGTTCCTTCTTTAATCTCTGATATTTTAAATTCCTGTGGTTTCTGCCGTTGCCATTTCAGGTTTCATTCCTGACAGTTCTTCGCATGTTGTGAAGAGAAGAAACATTTCTCAGAAAAGCACCAGTGCAGAATGCGAGGTTATGTGTAATCTTAAGTCAAACAGATCTAGTTTTAGCTTTCTTTATAATATATCAAATTTAATTTCTTTGACTCAAAGTACATTTTAGAACTATGTTTTGGGTTTAATTCCTGAAACTTACCTACTAATTGACATAGCTCTGCAGTTGATACAGTTAAATTTATTATAACAAATAGTTCTTAGTCTGTCTTAAAGATGGTCTTCAGCATTTTGAGAAGAAAGAAATAAATTAGATTACAGGTAGGATTGTGGAAGGTATGGAACCAAAGGAGAAGCTGGGAATACAGCTTGGGGTCATACTTACTCTGTATCCCTAAGAAGTCCTGGTTGTGCAAGAAGGGAAAATGATCATTTTCCTTCATCTTTTGTTTTAATATCTCTTCCCCGATTGATCCCAACAGAAATTCCAGGGTTGACTTTTTTTTTTTTTTTTTTTTACCAAACTTGGTATGTTCCCGTCTCTGAACCAGTCGCTGTAACTTACTGGCCAGACCTGAGGCCAGACTTGGCCTGACCTGAAGCTTAGAAGTGGAGCTAGCTCCTCTGCAAACATACAGAGTGGAATTAGGTGATATTGACATTGGAAGAGGAAAGGGATGCTAGACAGTGAAAAACACTAAACATCCCCACTGTCCTCAAACTGTTTCGTGATGAAGGGCTATCCTAAGTCAGGAGTGTACGAGCATCTGGGTTCTTCGTTGGGACCTTCCGTTGTCCGAGCCTCACTCCTCCCCACATTGCTTTTGTTTTGCTGCAGATACCTATTTCCCAAGTTCACACTGTGCTGGACTGAGTTCGTAGACATGAAGGTCCGTGTGCCGTGTGAAACGGTTGAATACATTGAAGCCAACTATGGTAAGAGCTGGAAGATTCCCATAAAGACATGGGACTGGAAGAACTCTCCGCCCAACGTGCAGCCCAATGGAGTTTGGCCTATTTCCGAGTGGGATGAGGTTATCCAGTTATACTGAAAGGCTGGGTGAAATAGGGGAATTTCTCTTCTGGAAGAACAAAAGTGGATAACTATTTAAAAAGCTGCACATCCAACATAAGTGAGACCACCACCGCCACCACCAAAAACAGGACATTTGAAGACACAGAGTCCCAGCTCCTGAGCCATCTGATTTAGTTCTGGAGCAGCATTTATTGAGGAGTTTCTGTGTGCCAAGTGAAACGTGAGGTAAGGGAGTATCAGAGATGAATGAGCAGATCTCTGCCTCTTTTTCCTATGCCTTTGTCAGCACCCCAACTTTCCTTCGAGAGAAACACCCTTCCCCTTTGAAGAGCTGAAATAGAATAGGATATATTTTATAACGGTTTTTTAAATGTTAAGTAATGTTTAGACTGGAAAATGAGTTCATCAGGTAAAAGCTAAGGAAGGATGTACTGGTTAAAGAGAATAATCCATTCCTGTCCTCAGGATTTGAGATGGTATGTTAGTGCTGCGTTTAAGATTACAAAGTCTGGGTTAAGAGTGAAGTGATTAGGCTTCTGTGGCATCAAGGAGCGATGCTAGCAGATTCATTTTATACGCAACCTGATGTGGAATTGATTTGGAACGCAGGGCATTAGTCTGTAAGGGAAGGTGAAGCCTATTTCCAGCTTGTCGGGTAAATGTCCATACTCTTACTATTTTCATATTTGAAGTGAGAAGCAAGCTGATGCTTGTGTGATGCTTAAGTTTCCATCCATTGTGAGAGTATTTTCTCTGACCTCTGTTGGCGCTTATTGACAAATCACTCAAGCAAGACCAGGCATGATTTTAAAAGTTGTTATTTCACAAAACTTAACTTTCCTTATTTCATTCTCAGCCACTCCATTCAATAAAAATAGGAGCTGCTCATGGACATTCGATATTTTCTGTATAACCCTTGCACTTCCAATTTTAACATTAACACTAATGTTAATAGAAATACCTCTAATTTTTCTAAATAGACTCTGTTGTATTTATTCACCAATCATAGCTCCATGTATTTAATTTATGGCCTATGTATCACCTTGAATAAAAACCTACCTGTCAGCTTTCTTCCAAAAGTACTTAAGGTCTCCAAAAGGGAAGGTAAATGGTGAGCCTAGCAAGTACTCCCCGCCCTAGCGGATAGGGTTGGTAAAGCTTTTGTCTGTCTCTAGGTGTCCATCAGTTGAATATTGATGAAGAAAGCACTCAGACTTCCTTCGTTATTGAGTACTAGTGCTGTGGATTCCTGCAGTTTTCTTTTTCCTCTAAGATACATTCCTCAGTGCACCGGGATGGCCGGGTCTCGCTCATGGCTTCACCAGCCCCTTGCATGATGTACTCTGAGTGAGAGAGAAAAGCAAATGGAGGCACAGTGATAATCACTGTTCTTTCTCTTTGGGAAAGGAAGCCAAGTCTTGTATCTACTCTGTGCTATTTAGGATTGTTTTTTGGAGCAGCTTGCCAGATTTTCCTCCAAAACTGGAGAATAATGAGTCTCAAATATGGAAACCTCTAGTATGTACAAGCCCCTAGATTCGCTCCCCAGCACTGCCACAAAAAGTTTAAAAAAGAAAAAGTGGCACATCTGAGGGACTGGGCTGACAGTTTCCCAAAGCACAGTTGGACAGAGTGACCTATACCACCAACCCCTCCAAATCTTAAAACCAACGTGAAAGCTCTCCTTGATGAATGCTAACAGTCTGGCTTAGGCTGTTTTTAATGTCAAATCCATGTGTCTTCTCATAAATAACCTAAACATGTTTTCAGGAGCCTTTTTACATTATTAACAGACGTGTCCCAAAAGGATAGGTCATCATCGTCATCAGCTTTCTCTGCTTGAAAATAGCCCACAGAACAAAAATCAAAATTTTAAATAGCCGACCTTAATTTCATTTGTCATGTGCTAAAACAACGTAACAGATGGTCTCATACTTTCCTCGTTGCTGGACAAAATACCTGATGGCTGGAACTTGAAGGGGGAGAGGTTTATTTTAACTCGCAGTTGAGAAGTTTCTGTCCATGTTTGGCTGGCTGAAATACAGGAGCAGCACTGCAGAAGGGCCTGAGCTGTGTACTTCTGAGCTCCCACTCTCCAGCTTAAAGGCTCATCCAGTACCACTAGCCTAAAGCCGCAAAATTTTCCAGGTTTCTCCTCCTGGAAAATGAACAGTTTTTTTTTATCCTGAATACTATCAATCCCTAGGAGAACTCTCCCCTCAAAGACCTAGTAGAAAAGGTACATCTCCCCTTCTAAAACATAGTCATCAGTACTGATAGCGCTAGACTGCACAAAAACCCGTTAATAACTGGTCAAAAGAATTCCTTTGAAGAAATGTCCCAGTAACTATTCCTCTTCCCTCTTTGTTTTTCTTTATCATGAAGATCTGGACTGGGCCACCTCTTAATACTGCATTTTGGGGAGGCAACATGTTGATATAAAAAGACAGCAAACTTTTGAGTAAGGCCAGAGTTTAAATCCCAGCCACATTATGTGAGTGCCTCAGCTCAAATTTAATTTTTTAAATTTATTTTTATTATAGCTTCTACTTTTATAAAATAGGGCTTCAATGTGGTATTTTTATAAAAGTATATAACATATTTTGATCGTATCCGTGTCCCTGTTACCCTCCTTCATAGTCCTACCCATCCTTATTCCTTGCTCTAGTCTAATAATAGTCATCCTTCTGTCATCTTTTTAGCGTACACGTTAGGGAAAACATACAGTGGCTGTCCTTACAGGACAGCTTTTTTATTTTAATGTAGTAGATGTAGATATTGAGAAAGAAAATATTGAGAAGCACATTCTTATGAAAAAAATGAACATTTATAACAACTAGAGAATAACAATAGTTAATACACTATGTACCATAATCTTAATGGCAAAATGTCACTGAGTACAAATCATAGACAAAAGACTCTTACAGAGAAGAAACAAACAGATAATAGCATAAAACTTTCTTTCTGGTGAACTAAGAGCAACCAGTAGTATAAGTGAAACAAATTGGCATATATATTGAAATATTTTTGAAATGGCAGAATAGAAAGTTTGAGGAATTATTTGAACTTCTCCCTATTTCCTATTTCTCCGTATATGTTTTAGTCTCTTATATAAGAGAACCATATAATCTTTAAGGCGTGTGTCTGACTTATTTCACTTAACATTATGTTTTCAGATTGCATCCATTTGCCTTTGAATGCCTCAAGATTATCTTTTCTATGACAGAGTAGTACTCCCAAAGACCCAGTCAAAAATGGGCAACCGAAATGAATGGACACTTCTCAGAAGAATCACAAATGGCCAGTAAATACATGAAAAATGTTCAACTTCACTGGCCATAAGAGAAAACAAATTAAAACTACATTGAGATACCATCTCACCCAGAAAGAATAGCTAATATATTAATATATATAAAACAAATGCTGACGAGTATGAGGGGAAAAAGGAACCCTTCTACATTGTCGGTGGAAAGGTAAACTAGTACAATCACTATGGAAATTACTGTAGAGATTTCTCAAAAAACTAAAAGTAGACATTCAGTTTAAGCCAGCTATCTCCCTTCTAGATATCTTCCCCAAAGAAGTTATACATGCACACGCACGTTTATAGCAGCACAATTTGTAATAGCTAGATCTTGGAAGGAGCGTATATGTCCAACAGCAGATGAATGGGTAAAGAAAATTTGGTTTTAATACACAATGGCTTATTGTGATTAACATGATCTCCAGTTCCATCCATTTCCTTGCCAGTGACAAACCTGTAATTCTTCTTTGCTGCTAAATAATACTCCACTGTGTATTTGTATCACATTTTCTTTTTCCATGCATCCGTTCATGGACACCCATCAGCCTCAGTCTCCACATGGGTGAGTGGGAAAATGGTGCATACTTCTAAGGTTTTTAGGAGGAGTAGGTGAAACACCAAGTGCTTAGCCTCAGGTTTAGGGGTAAGTACTGCAGAAATGTGGCATTTCCTAGTTTCATGTTTTCTAATTATTACTCAAGTGGGATGACAGAAATTGTAGGTCAGTATACACTGGTTTACTCAGAAAAATTGCATGACTGAATTTGGTTAACAAAAAAATATACAGGGCATTACAGGTCAAATTGCATACATTATAAATTCAGAGACATTATAGTGATGCTTCTTCTCTAAACAAAACTTCTGTTTTCATTTTGCTGGTGAAGCTGTTGTCTCCTAAAATTATCTCATGTGCAGATTTTGTCCAAGCAGTTTACTCTACTTCCATAGGCTTGGTTCCTACTCTTGCCTACACTTGCTTTTCAATCTTCTAACTTTTTCTTAGAGTAAATGTTCACTATAAATCCCGATTTGGAATACTTAGTTTTATTTAATTGTTTATGCTGGCCTGGGGATGTAGCTCAGTGGTAAAGCACTTGCATAGATTTAATCCTCAGCACTGCAAAAATACAATGTCTCTGCTGATGTATACCTGTGTCATTCTTTATAAAGGAGAATTGAAAACACTCATGTCTATTTTCTGTCCCCACATTTCTGGTTCTTTCTCAAGTAGGCAAGAATCAGTAGGCTATATGATGTCACTTTAAGCTGTCCCACATCATGCTTAATTCCTAATTACAGTTTATGAGTCAGATAGACCAGTTCAATGGTGATACCTTTTGAACCAGTGCTTAAAATAGTCAAGTATAAGTTTTCTCATGAAAAATCTGTTTCTGGACTCTCTGGACTTCCCAACCGAATAGGACCCTATGAAAATATCCATTTGCCAGCCAAATTTGCTCCTATAGGCTTAGGAGTACTTCTCACAGAACAGGTGGGAGCATAAGAAGAATTAGAAGTACTGTATTTTGTTTTTTAAAATTTATAAGATTTTATGGGCTTTTGTGTTTTGTTGTTGTTGTTGTTGTTGTTGTTTTTGTTTTTTTCTTCTGGTACCAGGAATCAAACTCACGGCCTTGCACTTGCCAGGCAGACACTTTGCCACTGAGCTAAATCCCCAGCCCGGATTTTATAGGCTTTTGATTATTTATCCAGAGCATGGAGAATAGTTCACATGTTTGTTATATGAAAGTTAAATGTAGATTTTTGTGTAGCTCTTCCACTTCATAACTATAAAAGCATACATGAATTTTATAAACAAAGGGATATTTTAAACACGAGTACATTTCAGTGTATGCTTACCAGTTCACTATTTGGTTTTGTCATATACAGACAGTTTGTGGTACTACTGAAAATACCTTCAATATTATTATTTTTATCAGAATTTATAATATATAATTCACTTTGGGATGGTGAATAAAGTTTTTTTAATCTCTTGAAATATTTTGTGTTTATTTTTGAAACCTAAGTAGAAATAATAGCCTCTTACATTCATAACCCACCTGGTAAAACAGTAATCTTACTACCAGCATAGTGTTTCTGAAAATTAAGTCCAGAAATACTAGAGGTTTGCGCACATACATTTGAGAACCCAAAAGTCCTCTGAAGAAGCATGTCAGCCAGAGACCACCAGGAAAATGCCTGTAGTCACACAGTTAGGTTTGTTAGCTCATTGCAGCAAGAGAAAACATCCACTATGAGAAACCATAACATTTATGGAAGAAAAAACTAAAACTACCTTTTTATAGTATTTAAGTCAGAATTGTGAAGAGTAATAGCCACTGACTGGGAATAACACAAGTCATGGAATAAAAAGCCTTAGTTTGTTTAAATCTAACAGTATCTAAAAGAAACAATGACATACCCAAACCAGTGATATTTATTCCAGATATGCATGGCTAGTTCTGCCTAAAATTCAGTGTAGTAAACTGTATCAGTAAATGAAAGAAAAAAAAGCATATGTGTAAATAAATACAGAGATTAACAAAATCCAAACCTACTTGTGACTTTAAAAACAAGTTAAAAAGAGAAGGAAAATACCTCAACTTTTAATGAAGAACATTTACAATTAAATGCTTATTAACTTGATAGATAGCATGTAATAGTGAAAGACTGAA